AATGTAGTTTACTGATGTTAACAAATGCAACTTTATTGTAAAGTGTTATCAGATAATTTGCACTAAAAACTAAAATCAGTTGTTTATTTAAAGTTAATCGCAACATTATACTGTACAGTATGAAAAATTTATATTAATTTTACATTTAAATTATCAGTGTTTTTAAAGACTTAAGCCCCGTTCATACCAGCAACGATAACTATAAAGATAACTATAAAGATAACGATATTAGCGTCCACACCAGCGAACGATATCGTCTGTTTATTCTAAGCGCACATGCGCCTGCCGCTTTAAATTCTTGAGCTCGTTACAGTGTTTTATCGTTCATCATCTGGAAAAAAATCGTTTTGAAAGTGATTTCCGGGGGGTACCACCTGTTTCTTCGAGGCTCCCCCCGACGATCAGATGTCGGTTGCAGCATCGGAGGGTGAGCCAGAGCTTTCTGGAGAGGAAGATTTGGCTGCGCTGCTCGGGACCGTAGCAATACCTGAATCGGATCCAGAAATAATGGCTATGCTTTCCCGGGCCGCTGTAGGGGTAGGTACGTGTCCCGAGCCCTCAAGGTTGCACGATTGGTTCTCGGGGTGGGCCGCGCTGGTTCTCAGCGCCCCGCCTCGGTGCCTTTCTTCCCGGAGGTGCATGAGGAGCTCAACAGGTCATGGACGGCACCTTTTTACTGCCAGAAACTGATTTGCTAGATCCTCCTCCCTCACCACCCTCGATGGTGGGGCAGCTAGGGGGTTACAAGGGTCCCCCCGGGTCGTGCCATGTCCACTATGGTGGTCCAGGAGCGCCATTTCTGGCTGTGACTGGCTGACATGCGCGAGACAGACAAGACACGATTCTTGAACGACCCCGTGTCCCAGGCCGGCCTTTTGGCGACACAGTGGAGAACTTGCCCAGCGGTTCTCCGCTGACTAAAGCAGACTGAGGCCATCAAGTACATCCTGCCCCGGCGTGCAGCTGTTGCCGTCGCTGAGGGCGGCCCCCCTGCCACCGCCAAAACAAGAGCAGTGCTCCTGCGGCCTCCAGCAAAGCTGCAGCCGCCCCGCCCGTCCAGGCCCCCGCCAAACCTGGCGGCAAGCGAGAGCGCAAGAGGCCCGGAGACGGGCGACCCAGAGGTGGAGGGACGTGCTCTTCAGGAGATGGTAAGCACACCACTCCCTCCCCCGGAGGAGGGCCGGGCGGAGAATCTTTTCATCTTTTTTCACCACTGACCTCTCTTGGGTCGGTGGTACCCAAATTCTCGACAAAGAGCAATTCCTCTATTTCTGGGTCCCCAGAGGGGACGGGGGGTTGTGGACGATCTAGTGCGTATCACACTCACCCTCCTCTCTCGCCAGTGAGCAGCAGTGGGCGGATCGGGAGGACGAACCAACGGACTACCCACGCACCCTCTGCTCGAACGCAGGTCAGTGTTACACACACCAGACCCCGCCTCGGACCGGCTACGAGACGCCCGGGCCGAGCCCCTGCATTTTTCCGCGCTGCCCCACTGCGGGTACGCCTGTAGTTCCGTTGATGCCACTAGCGCGGTTTCTGGGAGCCTGGCTTGAGCTACCCAGCCCATCTCGATGGCTCCTTCGAACCATCAGGCTCGGCTATACAATTCAGTCGCCCGGCGTCCCCCCAAGTTCAGTGGCATCCGCTTTACAACAGTGAAGGCGACCGATGGTCCTGTCTTGCGGGCGGAGTTTGCAGTCCTACTGGCGAAGGATGCGATAGAGCCGGTCCCTCCAGCCGATATGAAGACGGGGTTTTACAGCTCCTATTTCATTGTACCCAAGAAAGGCGGTGGGTTACGACCAATCTTGGACCTGAGTGTCTTGAACCGGGCCCTTCACCGGTTACCGTTCAAGATGTTGACACAGGACCACGTCTTCGGGTGCATCCGTCCCCGAGATTGGTTTGCAGCGGTCGACCTGAAGGACGCGTACTTCATGTGTCGACCCTTCCGCACCACATACCATTGCTGTGGTTCGCGTCCGAAGGACGAGCATGTCAGTACGAGGTCCTGCCCTCCGGGCTGTCCCTGTTGCCCCGTGTCTTCACGTAAGTTGCGGAGGTACCCCTTGTTCCCTTGAGAGAACAGAGCATTCGCAGTCTCAACTACCTCGATGAAGCAGTCTCAGGATCAGTTGTGCGAACACAGGGATTTGGTGCTCTCACACCTCAGCCTGTTGGGCCTTCGGGTCAACTGGGAAAA